TCATGAATCATCATTCATGACTTTCATCATCTGCTTCGAGTGAAATATCCGGTGTAGTATCATGCCCTCCCTTGTCTTGTAATCGATTTTCTACATCTAGCCAATTCTTGAAGCAGATACACATCTCTATGCTCTCATCATTCATGCAACTTCTTTTGTCATCCAACACCCTGGTACCTGTACTAAAACAAGACTTCGATGGAATTGTAGACACCGGAGGGGTTAGTAGATCACGTGCCATGGTGGCAAGAACCAGATAATTTTTCGAATGTTCACTCCACTAGGCTAAAAATCAAAATTATTTGATCATTCACCTAAATTAGAAAAATTTGCTTGTAAATAAAAATTAAGTTCAGTAAATGAACTTGTTGTAGAACTAGCAAATTTCTACCTTTAACTTATTAAATAAAAAAGTTTTTCTCTTCTACTACTGGCCTCAATGTCAGAAGTAGAAGAAGATGATGGACAAGTTGTAGGAATATTTCCTACATTTTCAGATTCATACAAATTGTACATTTCAAATAATAAATTATCAATTTCATCTTTTTTATTTCCTATGTCAATATTCATATTTTCACAATATGATTCAAGTAAAATATCTAAATCATCTTTCCTAATCCTAGGGTCTAATATTGTAGCTAAACAATAAATTGGTGAAATGTTCTCCCAATATTTTTTAAATTTATTTTTCATGATTTCAACAATACATTGAAATTGTGGATTATTTCTATATTTTGAAAAACAATCACTAATTACCATTAATTGATAAGGTAAATTACAATTAGTTGGATAATAAATTCTAGATAATTCATTAGTTGCATCCAAGGTTCAAAGTATCAATATGTTACGAGTTTTGGTTGTTTCCAGGTGTTAATACAAATATAACTAATATTAAATTTGGATGTCCAAATATCTGAAGTAATTGCAACTTTAGAATTAAGATTTGCTAACAAAGAAATTAAATTGTGTTTATATGAATAAAAAATCTTTAAAGCATAAGTTGTTATAGTATTCCTAGAAACTTTTTTATATTGTGGGTTTACAGAACTACGCAACCATTTTTTAGCTTTGGATCTTCAGTTAATATAAATGGTTGTAGTGCATGTATAATATACTTAGAAAGTTCTTGTCTCATTTTTTCTTGTGAATATTTAAAAGTACCAATCTGTGTTTAAGTTGTTTCTCTCCCTTCATCTTCTTCTCGCTCATGTGTGAGCAAATGTTTGTTCAAATGACCCATACCACCCTTACTACAATAACTAAAGTTCTTACTTTTTTGGTAAATGACCATTTTCCCCTTCCCCTCAATATCCTCTACTTTGAAAAATTTTCAAACTGGGCTACTTAGCTTAGAGACCCTCATTTTTCCCCTAGTATCAATACTTGAGGTGAAAGTTCCACTTCCATTGACATCAATCGCATCAGTTCTAACACTATCATGATGCGATTGAATATCACCAATGGTGAACATGTTGGGGAATCGGTTTTCAGAAGAGCTAGCCATTTTTTTTAATTCTAAAAAGATAAAAATTAATCTAATTCGACTTACCTGGATTGCTGGTTCAAAATCCCAATTTGATTTCAACGGTTGAAGCTTTTCAACATCCAAGCATCCCAAATTGAGATACTTGAGCTAGTTGAGCAAGCCTTCTTGTTGAAAGTCGAAAACTTCAATAAAATTGAGACTTAAGAATTGGAAGATGCAGAATCAAACAATCAATTAATCAGAATTACTCAAATTGCAGAGAATTGAGAATGTATGAGTATGAGAGAGAGGGAGAGGGAAGAGATTAAGAGAATTATTGAATTGGTATGATGAGAATGGTGGATGATAGAGCTATTTATAGGAATTGAACATAATTCAATTGCCCAAAATACCCAAAAAACTAGCTGTTATTTAGTTATTGGGAGAGGTATTTTGGTACTAGTCGTTGGGCCCCTTTGGAGGAAGGGGGTAGTAGCTATATTTCGGGCAGGCCGAGCGAGGCCCGCTACGGGCCCTATGAGCTGTGTCGGCATGCGGGCCACGGGTGATTGTGCCATGCCATACCGGCCCATGGGCCTCAAACTCCTGGCCCAGCATGACATGGACCTCTGTACCATACCTGACATAGCCCGTGGGCCTTCGTGCCGTACCGATCCAAAATCGTGCCAGACCACAGGTGGCCCGACCCGATTTACACCTCTACTTTTGGAATCTGTCATGTTTTGCTACTCAAAATAACTAGTAAATTTGAGAGCAAATGGTTAAAGATGGATTCTCCCCTTAGAAGATACAAGTATACAATCAATATTAACTTTGATGCATGGATCTCCGCAAATGGGCTAAATTTGGATGTAATTCTCACGGTGCACACCTTACATCGATAATCCCAATGCGCATTAGGTGTACACATTAAACCGCAATGAGACCGGATCTTCTCCTAGGCGCCTCATACGCACATCCTATTATGCATTGGGAGCATCTCCCGTACTTGTAAGTTATTTTTGACGGGAGATGTTCCCAATGTACGGTGATTGTGCATTGAGAATGCACATTGCGGAATTCTCGTGAGTTTGAGAACGCACCTTGCTGTGTTCTCAAATTTTTGAGCTTTTTTTTTTTAATTAAATGAGACTTGGGAGACCAAACGTCACAGAACCTCTCAAGACCAAAGGTCTCAGCAACTCTTACTCAAAACCTATCAAGATCAAGCGCTGCATTCTCTTTCTTATCTTGCAGAACCTCACACAACCCTCTCTCTTTCTTCTCAATTTTCTCTTGCAGAACAGATTTCTTCCTCACAGCCACTCTTGCAGCAAAATCATATCAGGTATTTAATAGTCTTTTTTCCAGATACAGAGACGTATTTTTTTTCTCTCTCAGACACCATTTTCTCTCAGGGCTAACAGAGGTTTCAGCAGCTCCTTTAGCTTCGAAACGCTTTGGTTGTACCGATTGTAGCTGTTTCAGTGCTTCACATTTTGTTCCAACTTTCAAACATTTCCAAACATCAGGTGCACTAATATAAACTACTGAACAACGGGTTTTGAAAAAAGAAAACACAAGTAAAAAAATGTTGTAAAAGTAACCGGGTTGATGCAGGACCCATTTTGATCGTCCGGGTGAAGAAGACAATCAAAACGGGTCTGCGATGACCCGATTCGATAGACCCGAAAGCGAAAAGATGGGTTGTCACAGATCTGTTTGTGTAAGGTATGGGTCCAATGGAGCCATGTGGATGTGATGATGCATGGGTCATTACTGTGACAACCCGTGCATGACACAGGTCTGCAGAACCGTGTGATGCACGGATCGTTACTGTGAGAATCTGTGCATGGCACAGGTCCGTTGAACGGTGTGATGCACGGGTCGTCATAGATCCACTCGTTCACAATACGGGTCTGATGGAGCCGTGTGATGCACGGGTTGTTATTGTGACAATCTGTGCATGACACAAGTCCACTGAACCGTGTGATGCACGCGTCATTACTGTCATAAATCCACCTGTGCACAATACGGGTCTGATGGACACGTGTGATGCATGGGTCGTTACTGTGACAACCCGTGCATGGCACGAGTTCGCTGAACCATGTGATGCATGGGTCGTTACTGTGACAACCCGTGCATGGCACGAGTCCGCTGAACCATGTGATGCACGAGTATAATGATAGTGATGATTAATATTTAATTATTCATCCATTAAAATCAATTACTTTTTTATGCCACGGCTTCATTTGTGATTAGATGTAATTAAACCTTTCATTACTTTTATATGGCTTCTTTGTGCTTTGCTATAATTAGTTTTAAGAATATTATATGCTTTTTTCTACATTTTCATAAATTAAGTAATTGATTTTGTTTTAACTATTATTTTTATAATTTATTTTAATTTGTTTATAAGTCTTGATTGTTTTATTTTTTATTTACAGAACCCGTGCATGACAGGGTCCCTGCTAAAGTATGAAATATGTTTTTGATGTGCCGCTGGCACGGATGCATAGCGAGACAGAAAGGATCAATGTCTATGCAATTGCAAGACGTAAACCCCAAAGAATGCAAAAACAACAACAACCACCTAGAGGCTAGAGATGATTTACACCTAGAGAAGGATCTCGATCTCTTGCATACAAGTAAAAACTCTGTGTCTGTGCATAGAATCCATATCATTAGGAGATATTTTGAATATGCCGCTGGATACCATGCTTGCTTAGTGTGCAGGAGGCCCCATGCTACACCCACCACCACACACATGGAGACAAACCAATCAAGCTATGGGCTTTATGAGCCATACCACCTTCTCAACCCAATCCTTACACCTGCCTTTTTATCATTTATTAACAAAAAATAATTGGGTGAGTTTATTATCTGGGCCTAGGCCCAGGATTTGTTTACTTATCGATAAAACTTGGGGTTTGGGCACGGATATGAATTCTTCATGGCCGGCTTCAAACATACCAGGCCCACTTCATCAAACAAGTAGGACCACTGAAATACATCAAACCCCTTGATTCTGGGTTTTAGCCCTGCCGCAAAGGTGAACTCTGTGTGAAGAAGAACCAGCATTGCAATGCATAGCAAATGTCGGTGAAGATGGGTCAGAAGCACAATAGAAGAGGCGTCCAGGAAGATGAATTCGGATCTCCTGCTCATAGTATCTATTCACGTCTATTCACATAACATCATAGCCACACATAAAGAATATCCCATTCTTCTTACATAGTATTATTCATCGGTTGTAGTCTTATGTGGATAGATGTAGGCAGAATTATTGTTGGGCAGAAGATCCAGAGTCCAGGAAGACGTTGCAAACTTGCAGTTTGCAGGTCTGCAGCAGCGATTTGGTCGAAGGGTAATATCGTAATTCGAGATTGAGTTAAGGCCCAAGGCTAAGGGCCTAAGGCCTAAGGCCTAAGGGGAGGGGGGGGGCAAACGTCGCAAATCTAGTCGAAAAGCAGACCCCACCTGCAATTTTAGGAATCCAGATTCCCTCCCCTCGTTACTTTTTTACATTTTCCTCTCTTCACACTCCCACCGTTCCTGTAGGCCCAAAGCCAGAAAGACTCTCTCTCTCTCTCATCTCATAATCAGTTTCATAAGAAAGGAGACAAAGAGAGAAAAGAAGGGGAGTAGAAGAGAAGATGGGTGAGGGGAGGGGCTCTACATTAGTCCATCTCCTGGTCATCGTTCTGAGCTTAGTCGCCTTTGGATTCGCCATTGCTGCTGAACGCCGCAGGAGCACTGTAAGCTTTTCTTAATTTCCACTTCTATCGTATTCCTTGCCTCTTTCTACACTCCAAAATGTTACTTCTCTGCTTGTATCGCATCTGTGCTCTCATTTAGTTGCAAAATCGCCAATTTGAAACTTTTCTATCTTGTATCAAATGCGCATGATTGTTTCTGCTTTTGGAGGCTCAGGGTTTAAGATCTGCTTCTTAAGTTTGTTTTGATTCAAAATGTGATCTTTCTGGCTCTACAATCTCGTTTAATATTCTCCTTATAGCCCGAGATCTTGCGTCTTCAGTAGTGGGTTTATTTGCTTATTTGTATTCGGTCAGAAGGTTTAATGTAGTTGCACATATATGGGGTTGTGCTTCTGGTATAGTTATTTGTATTACTGTTGTCAAGAATGCTTCATTACTTCAGGTGCTTATGATCTAGCTTTCTGCGTTAAGAGCTGGTTTCGGTGCATATCTGGAGTACATGTATTGTTCTCCTTGTGAGAAGTAGCTGCAGTAAGAACTGGGAGATTCATGTCTAAACTTCTCTTTTGCTACTAATGAATTGTAGCACAGAGGGTGAAAGAAGTATTCTTCCTTTGCTGGCTTGCCCAGCTTGATTTCAGTCCTGGAGTTGAAGAAGCTACGTAGAATTAGTGCGGGTCATCATAAAGAGGTCATCTTCATAGGCTAACAACAGGGATGCGACTAAAGGTTCTAATTTCTTTTTTTTTTTTTTGAAGTGATACACAACGGGGGGTATCCCATCCCCCAACCCATAACCCAGGTGCAGGCGGGATTCGATACCAAGTCTCTGCTACGACCAGAAGGAGATCTTACCAACCCGCTGGTTGGCACCTTGCAGTATTTACCCCTTATATAATGCAATGAATTGTTTATTCACATTACTTGTTCCTTCTAATTGTGCCATATTTTATCCCCACCAGCACTATAGATCACCTCTATCTATCCTTTTGCTTTCATCGCTGAATTAGTGCTTTTATAGGCATAGCAGTGTAGGCATCATTAACTGACTCTGGGTACTTGGTCTTGACTTGTGAATGGAAAGTCTTAGGGTTATATGTATCTTGCTTTTCTATATATGTGTCTGTTAGTCATTGATTTTACTTCTTGCCGAGTCAGACTCCTGAAAGCACATTGGGTTCATATTGTCATGTTTGTGTCCATGTAATATTGGCTTTAACATCAAAAGGACAGACCTTTACTATGCATTATATAGTTGGGTGCAGTATGGTTCCTTAATGCAAGTTATGTCCAATATGGCTTTATGTAGTAGAGAGCCTGTAGAGGTTCATTATGGCAAGATGTCCAAGATGGCTTGATGTAGTTCCCATGATTCTACCATTGTTTTGTTATTTTTGAGGTTCTCTATATTGTGCCAAGCAATTTGCACATAAGTACACTAATTCTTGTTTGCCAAATATCATCATTCTCATGGCTTTAGTGCTCTAAGTACCAAATTAACTTATAAGCACCCACACTATTGTCAAGCTAATCTTCACTGTCTCTAGAAATTTGCTGTTTCAAGCATCTCATTACCTTAAAGATCTTCCCTTAGGCATCCAGAATTCCTACAAAGGTTCCCCCTGAAACTCCCTAAAAATTTAAGAAAAAAAAAGAAAAAAATGATTAGAATACTTGAGAAGCCTGACCATGGAACCTTAACTGGAAAGAAAAATAGATTCCCAGTGTTTTTTCTGGATTTTCTTATCAATATTCTTACATCCAAAATGAAATATATGATGCGACTCTTCCTGAAAACAAAAATTTATTGATCAATATTCTTTTTGCACGGTTTCTTCCCACCATGTTTTTTTCTTTGTTTCACTAATGCTTTTCTTTCTCCTTTACATTTAGTCTTGTTCCTTTTTCTTTTCTATTATTTTCCTTATAATATTTAAAATGGACCATTGAACTTTTAATTGATCCCGCCAAGTATCATGGCAGCATTCAGCAACCTTGAGTTGTTTGAGTTTCTCTTCTCAAATTTCTACATGTCCAAACCTTGTTATGGGCTTGATGYMACATTTTATAGGACAACATGTGGTGAAGGAACACTTCACTATCTGTTTGTKGTTGCATATTTTCTAAACCTTYAATCAATTCAGTTGTTGAACATAGGGGTGTCAATTGGACTGGATTTGGTTCAATCCGATCCAGTCCAGTGTGAGTTCATTATAAATGGACTAGGTCCAATCCAATCCAATAAATATTTTGGACAAATTTGGACCGATCCAATTCAATGTCTGGACCGTCCAATCTGTTAAAATTCATTTTGATTTAGATTGGTTTCAACCCAACCCGGTCCATTGACACATATATTCTTATCTTACATCAATGGACCAGATATTGGCTTAATCCAACCCAATCCAATATAAATTTATTACGGACGGACCAGGTCCAATCCAACCTAATAAATATTTTGGACCAGATTGGTCCAATCCAATATGTCTTGTTGGTCCAATCCATCCAAATTGATTTTGGACTGGATGGGGTCCAATCCAAAACCTGTCCATTGACACCCTTAGTTGAACATTCCTTTTTCCAAATTGGTATAGCATCTGAGTCAGTCAACATCAAAGAGATTGATCCTAAATGTATTTGTTGTTGGAGCAGTCAGTCTTATATTGAAAGGAGCATATGTTGGAAGCTCCTAAACCTTCAATCATGTTCAATGATTTGTTTACTTTTTGTTATTACATTCTTTCTATTTTACTTTTTGTTATTACATTCTTTCTATTTTACTTTTCTTATAAAAAAACTTTATTTTTCTTGTGGTTCCAATTAAAGCATGAAGCTCCAACAAAACAGCTAAAGGAAAAAAGCCTTGGATGCCTTATCACTTTAGATTTTGTTCTTCAGGCTACATTTGGTTGCAGTTCAAAATCTCAAATTTCATTTGCTCTGGTGTATATGTATGGGAGTGCAAAAGGGCTGAGTGTAAATTCTGGTTTACTTTTGCTTTAGATTTGGCTGTCTTATTTGTTTGTGATGAAGGGAAATTTGGCCCGACCTCGCCATCACTCGACGCGTGGCAAAAGCAAACAGCTCGGGGCAACAGAGCGCCCAAAACACAAGCACCAAAAGAAAACCAACAGTCCAGGAGCACGACCTCCCTACTAGGAGCCCGAGCTCCCTACTAAGAACCTGAGCTCCCTGCTAGGAGCCCGAGCTCACTACTAAGGACCCGAGCTCCCTACAAGGAGCCCGAACTCTCTCCTGGGCCCTAAACCTCACAAGGCCGTGACCCGAGCTGGCCCATGGCAGCTCGGAACACTCCCCAAACCGAACTCAAGACTTTATCCCCCCCGTTACTCCGGCACTTCGCCTCCAAAACGCCAGACTGACCAAGCGTACCATACCTGACACCAAGGATGTCCGTTTCCAAGGGCGGCGCACCTGACTGATTTGGGATCTGACGCTTGACAGCCGCACTTCAAACGGCCACCTGCCACCGTCGTCACCAGCCGCAGAAACGGCTCCGACAAAAGGAGCAGTGGCGGTTCTGCCCGGCCAGAAGGGATGACATCCAAACTGGCAGGAGCTCAGAGATAGTCAGGCCCGATCTGACAGAAGCCTGGAAGTGAGTGCGCGAGGTGGTTATAAAAGGCTCCCTACCCCCCAAGAACAAGGTATGCAAACTTTGCGCTATCTGGTTTATCTTGCCTTTGAAGGATTCTRACTTGAGCTTCGGAGCCTCTACACCGGGTTCTCCCCGGAGCTTCTTCATCTCCCCCGTTTCAGGTTCCCAGTTACTCAATTCAGAGGCAAGGTCGTTGACAGCTAAGACCGGCCGGATTGCGCATCATCAATTGGCGCTGTCTGTGGGAAATCGCTTCAAAAAGCCTCCCTCCAAACTCTCATACCCCCTTTTTTCTTCTTCAAAAAACCCAACGCTCATGGCCTCTTCCAGCAACGCCGGACGTGGCACAGAGACAAACACCACCGGGGAACAGCTTCAAGTTCCCGTGGTGTGCGTTGGACAGTTCACCATCCCCCTTTCGATGGATGGAATCCCCAGTTTAAGTGCGCCACAAGCAGTGGCGCCCATAAA